CGAATGGAAGTTTTTAAACCTACTACAAAACACAGACAGTAAGTTGAACATTTCGAACAACAAGCTATTCAATCTATTTAAACGGTTTAATCATTTCTATCTTATAGGAAAAGTGTGAGAGATGTAACGAAACTTGTAATTTTTGTACAACATTCAGTAATAAAGAAATGGTGATGGATAGAAATAAAGAAACATGGAGGACAAGCTAAACAAGGCTCGTGACACAATGCAACAGGCAACAGGCAACAGGGAATAGAATTTCTGACTCGTTGGATCGGTTGGAAGAAAATTTTCGACGAATCCAACGCGTCAAAATCCTATGGTAATCCTTTTTCAGTCGACAATACGTCAACTTGGAGTTATTAAATTGCTAAATATAGTCACCCAGTACATGTCTTATAGATATCTAAAAGAGGTTGACAAAATAGAATCTAAACGATCGGTAATATCTCAAAGATATTATTTATAGGATATATGGAACAGGTGCGGATAATAAAAGTTTATTATCTGAAATACGGATGTACGTTGTATCGAGTTAATCGTTGACTATATACAAATAATTTTAGATAATTATCAACTCGATACAACGTACATCCGTATTTCAGATAACAAACTTTATTTCCCGCGGCTCATCTCGTATAGATGTACACTCTATTTTAAAGAATCAAAATGTTTTCTTACAATTAACGATATCAAAAATCCAGAAGTAATATTACATTAATAAGTAACGACTCGTGTGCTACACCTCGCAGTCGTCCAGTTGTGTAAACGCGACAGATGGATGCGACGCAATAATTTCAATAGTTGGGCGGTACGTAGCGTTACGTGGTTTAGACTCTGTGCCGATTTCCCAGAGTCGCACTAAATCCGGACCGATGCCACGAAAAGATAAAATAGATTCTCAAATTAACTGCAGTGGTGAAAAGTACATCGTAACTGAAGACACGTCGCTTGATTTGCCCCTGGAAAAAGAGATTCCTTTGTAAATAACCGAGTAATTTGATGTGTTGATTGAACGTAGCTTAATATTAGAATTAAATGGAATAATTACATCTTTCCTTCAACAGATCCTGAGTCAAGCCTCTCGTTGCAAGGCGAGTTTCCTCAACGTGAGAACGATAATCCTCGTGTTGCACGTTATACAAATGGCTGTGTTGCGTATAATAACATCTCAATTCGACGGACACACGGATTTATTAGCAAGAAATTAGTAATCGCTTAGCATCGGCATACTAGAAAAATGAAAAAGCAGGGCCCCTATTCTTCAATATGTACGAATGACTTTCGTATACGAAAATGGCTGTTTCGTATACGACTTTTAATAGTTGGTATTCTTGACTGATAGCTACGCAGTCGTATTCGAAAAATGTCATACGATTTACATCATATGGATCACAGCATGCGAAACTTTAATTCGTATGCGATACATAATGAAAATCTATTATAAAACTCTAACATGGTGGTTTTAAGAAGGGTAGTTGATTTTAATGCAGTGGATATTATAGAAAATGCAAACATTTTGTTTGAAAATAGACAAAGATTCTGTCGACGTAGTGATTCATTTGAGCTAAATAATTCTGATTTTGTTAAATTATTTCGTTTGAATAAAGAAATGGTACAAAGAATAATCGACATAGTAGATGAATTTAGTGATCCAATTTCCAGAAAATCAGCGTTAAATTCGGAACAAAAGGTAAGAGAAATATATATACATATATGTATATAAAATATGTTTGGGAAATTTCCTCCCTTTCGAATCTCGTCATGAGATCGAAAGATCGCGAAATCTCCGTGAGCGCGGCGAGTGGATCGGGGGGTGAGAAAGGACGTGCACCGTGGCGAGAATGACTACGATTCGGTTGTTAAAATGAGTTGGACGTTTAATCGTATTTACACTATGTACAGTTGAGAATTACTGTGGCGTATGATTGAGGTGAGCGAGTCCGTCGAGCTCTCTTGTTCGCTCAAGACCGTCGGGGGTGTGCCGTCCGTTGAGCCGGTGGCCGGCTACAAGCGAGCGTGCACGTACAGAATGAGAGGCCTTTGCGCAGAACACCGATGCACTCGATTTGAGCACTGAACTAATGAGTCTGTCCCGGGTGAGCACTAATTGTCAATGTGAGATGGCACTGAGATAGCACTTGAGCGCGAGCACGATCATTTAGTCAGCCGATGCGAACTTTACCACAGCTTATTACGGCTGCTTTCACACGACGACTGACTTCTCTGAGCTTGCACGCAAGCCCTCGAGCCATGTTCACGGGCCCGACACGTGCTCGTTACCAGGTCGCGCGGTCGCGCGCGCGGTACCACTGGGCCTCGCGAATAACCGTGAGATGGCGAGGGCAGTACAATTGAGATAACTGGAGGAATCTCAAACAAAATATATATACAAAATTTAAAGATAAATGTACTGGGCATATTTTATAATTTGTATATTTATTTTAAATACAACTTTATATATAAAAAATATATATAAAGCATTAAATACTAACAATTTCTTTTATTTTTATAGGCCTTTACTGCTCTTAGGTTTTATGCAGTTGAAAGTTATCAGTTAGGTATTGGATGTAATGAATATATTGGAGTCAGTCAACCTTCGGTTAGTCGCTGTGTTCGAGATGTGAACACAGTGCTCAATCATCCCAATGTGTTTAACGAATGGGTTTATTTTCCAAGGAATGTAGAGGAGCTTACAACTATACGTAATGCGTATGTACCGACAAAATTAAACCAAATTATTCTTCAAGATTATTTAATTCTAATTTCAGTATGGTATTTGCAGGTTTTACATGGAATATGGATTTCCAGGTGTTATTGGATGTGTAGACTGTACTCATGTGGCAATATTTCCACCACAAAGAAATAATCGAATGTATCCAGAACATGTATACGTAAATCGAAAAGGATACCATTCCATAAATACACAGCTAGTAAGTACATACATTGAATATTGATTGATTGTAGTTATAATATTGTAATGTTATAATTTATAGCACGATTAAACATGTAAAATTAACAATTATTTTATTATATTATGTAATAATGCTTTTATTACAGATATGTGATTCAAGAATGAAAATTTTAAATGTTAATGCTCGATATCCTGGTAGTTGCCATGATAGTTTTATTTGGAATCATTGCAATATTCTGCCACTTATGCAAAATATACATGTACGAGGTCATGATAATTTTTATTTACTTTAGTATTTTTTCAAAAGGACAAAGGAAAGGGTTTGTTAATTTAAATAATTATCAAATTTTATTTAAACTTTGTTTTAGGAGATTCAGGTTACGCATTAAGACCATGACTTTTAACTCCATTGGATGATATTCAACCAGGTACTCAAGAGGAACGTTATAACCAATGTTTCAAAAAAACACGATCAATTATCGAAAGATGCATTGGTCTATTAAAAATGCGATTTCGATGTTTGCTAAAACATCGTGTGCTTCATTATGCTCCAAAGGTGGCTTCAAAAATGATAAATTCATGTACAGTTTTACATAATATGTGTGTAGAAAATAATTTACCACTTCCCTCAGAAGATGATTACGATTTACATATCGATTTAGGCATGTTTCATGAAAGACCAATAGAAGTTGAAGCTGCTGTTGGACGTATAAACCTTGATCTTGCAAAAGCAAAAATAATACCACGTCGTATAATTAGAAATTTTTTCTGAAATAAGATATATATTGGTATAAGTTTATAAAAAATAAAAGGCAAGAATTAAATTATTATTTTTATTTAACCTTATTTTACATAGAGTGTGTAACGTGTTTAATACATTATTTACTAAGTTAAATATGTTTGAATAGGAAACATAAAATATTGTGTTTGCTCATCGAGACAGTGTTTAATAAGCAGTTACTGCTTTTATTAAGCCCATTAGCAGAATAATTAAACTTTTTGTTAGTGAGCAACACAAAAATTTACATAATTTTAGACCAATTAATTACTTTAGTAGGAGCTTTAAATTTTACTCATCAGTATAACCAATAATATTGCACAGCTTATTATGTAATATTGTTTATTAATGAATGAACATTGCGTGATAGTTATAGTTCAGTTTTCAATATATTAACTTTTTCTATCTATCAAAAATTAAATACGTTTTACACCTGTAAAATATACGTATAATATATATGACAAAGTTGAATGTAAATTATTTGTTATTATTATTATCGTATTTCTATAACTAAATCACATATTTATATCACATTTTTAAAATAACAAAAATTAAAAATTAATTAATTTGACTGATAAAAACAAAATAATTATTTAATTGTAATTCATATCACGTTCATATAATTAATAATTATATACTTTTTAATATAACAAAAAATAAAAATAGTTTTACAAGTAACAAACTTGTATTTTCTTTTTATGGATTAAATAGAATAAAATATTATCAGTCTTGTATAGCTTTGGCATTAATAAATAATTGATATTATAAACTAATAATCTCTCTCTTTTGAATTTTATACTTCTTCGAAATTTATCTCTTGTTGTGGAATTGCATAAGCTTCGATTGCTGTAGCAATTCGTTCTTTCGCTACAACATCACGTTCCATAAGCGTAAGTTTTTTTTCATAATATTCTGAACGTATCTTCAAGTCATTCTCCACATTTGTGGTCAAAGATTTTGTATAGGAGAGAGTGTTATCAAAACAGGCTTGTTTGGTAGCACGTTGTTGAGATGTGTCCTGTTTGCTTCTCTTGGTACCTTCTAATACAATTTATCTATTTAGTAATATAATACATATAAAAAAAATTTATATTGTTGTAAATAAATATTACTACTTGCTGCGGTTCTTCTAATTGGATTTGGATTTGGATTATTCAATGTGATTTTGCTGTTTACATCTATCTCGTTATTTGAAGATTCTAGTATCAAAATACTATCACGATTTACTGAATCTGTAAAAAAATTAACTTTTTTATTAAAAAGTTAAGTACCTGATTTTATAAATTTATATAATGCACTTACTTTGAGATATTGATGGATAATTCTCTTTTTCGCAAATTGATAACTGTTCTTGAACAGATTTTTTTGCAATTAAGTCATGTTTTTCTACAAGGAAAATGACAAAATTGTTATAAGAACTATTATAAATACCTAAAAACAATATATGTAAAATAAATAAAAAGTAAAGGAAATATCTGTATATATATTATATATACAGGGTATATATATGTATGTATATAGTACCTTTCAATACATTATTGAGTCTTGATGCTGAATTTGATATTTTGGTATTTTTCCCTTTACAATCCGTTACGTTTATGATTTCAGTGTCTTCATTATTTTCATAATTCTAGAAGGAGATAATAATTTTTTAAAGTTAGACTATATAAAATTAATTTTTGATAAAGTATACTTTATATTTTATTTAAATTCATGCTTTGATACTTACAAATTCCGCAATAGATTCATCAACAGAGGCATCACCATATACAGGGTGGGTCTTAGCTGCTGTTCGGGCCCTTTTACCATAAGAGATGGATTACCGACTGCAACTTTAGTTCACTGAACGGCACAAGAGGGCAGCTGCTTAGATCTCAGGGATGTTGCAGGCAAGTCGAAAACTTGTTCCACTTACAGACATCACGCGGAGAAAAATAATTTGCTAACACAATATATCTTATGTAAACTTAAGTAAATTTTGTCTGTTATTTTATGATAAAGTTATTTTCAACTTCAAGTTTAATAATTGACCGTATCTGGCTATTTTAATGTAACAGACTCGCTTCGGAGCGTTAAGAACGTGTGTTAAGAACATCAATTTTATTGAAAAATTATTGTGCGAAATATTTAGGTAAAGAAATGAAATAATTTCTGTTCTATTAAACGTTCTGCTGTAATGGTGAATAATTTTAATAATGTATAATGAAGAAATTTTCGTATCGGCATCACGTTAATATCAAATATGCAGTATTCAAGTAGCAGCAACAGTTTCGCTGCAATAGCAAAATTATTTTTTT